CCCCACACACCACCTTAACCATGCTTTCCCTGCATTCTTCCTCACTACTATACCCTCTGCCCAGGTTCCACGCGTGTAATTTCCGGATAATGAACTGCCTACCACTATGGCGCAGTTGGTATGGGACTTGACTTGCTTATGAATGTTTTAGGCTCGACCCGAGAAGCTCCGACTTACTAGTTATTCATTTACATGTTACCTCTCAGTTCATAGTGGGTTTTTTTAGTAAGCGTTTAACGGCACGTGCAACAAAATTAGGTCATGTAAAATCCGAAAATTATGTGTGTTACAAGAGAGTAACAAACACAAAAAAGAGAAGGAGGAGAATCAGGACGTTAGATGTTTGATAGGAAAGAAGGAGTAAACCGCGCCAGAGCTCCCTCCAACCATGACTCAGTTCAGAGTCCTATCAGAGTACTGGTAATTCAGCTGACATAACAACATGTCGGTAAAGTTTAGTAAAGTTTCATTTGACAGAAAAGAAATCAGCAAAAACAAAACACTGGCGTCTGTGGTGTAGCAGTCAGGCGCTTCACCGTCTCATGCAGAAGATCCGAGTTCGGTTCTCATTTGGGGGAGAATACCGGTATTGCGGTGCGGTGTTTCTGCTGGGGCTCAGTAACTCTCTCTGCCCAGGCTGGCCCAGGCAGGTAGGGTCGAAGCCTGCCTCCTAAACAATCTAACACCAATACATGTATTAATAAAGATTACAAAACAAAACAAAACAAAAAAGCCAGACACAAAAAAGGCATGTAAGGTTTGAAAATGTCCGCCCATTATCCCAGGTGTTAAATAACTGTATTTGCATTAAAAGGAAAAAGCAAAATTTGTTTGCATCATAAACAAAAGTGTCTCGCCACATGCAAGTCTGAATTTCATTTAGGCAACAGCTGATTCTCACTTGTGTCTAGGGTCGGCTGTCTCCTCGAATTTCTCTCCTCGTCTTTTATTTTTAACCTCCTCTTCAAGCTCGACCACTTATTTCCTAAACTTTTGTAAACAAAATCTCATTTAAAGGTTTAAAGGAGGTGAAGAATCAAAAGGGGTCGCTCAAACTAAACACCCCGCCCCTCCTCAATGCCAATAAACCATGCTTCCTCTAGGTTATTATTAACCAATTAACCACCCGCTGTTTTTTCATCCTGTTTTTATCGCTTTCTCATGGCAAAGTACCAGCGTCTGTGATGTGGTGGTAGGGTTCTTTGCCGTCACGCGCAAATTTTCATTGAGTATCTCGGTCTCGGTCTTTCTGCTGGGACGTTGCATCCCTCAGACAGGGTTGCCTGTGGCAGGCAGGCTCGAAACCCGCTCAGTAATTAGTAATCGATCTAAGTTTTGTTGTTGTGGTTGTTTCTGTTGGTGTTGTTGTTGCTGTTGTTGTTGTTGTTGTTTTGTGTGTATGCGTGAGTGTGTG